CGGATCTACATACCAAATTTCAGCTTTCTAGCTCTTCAACTAACATGATTTCTGGCATATCAGAAAGTGCATTTTTCGATTTGCAATGCCCCTAGTGGACGGATTCGGAAAATTTCAACATTTTATAAATTTGAGATACACATGTTCTAAATTTCAAGTCTCTAGCTTCTATAGCACCGAAATAGACAGCGTTCATACGGACAGACGGACATCGCCGTAAACCAATATACTCATTTCACTTTCGTGAATAGTTATTCAACATTATCTACCAGAAAGCCAACATATTGGCCAAATGATCTGTATAAGATCCCAGATTTACTGGATTTAAGTGTGTATTCTGGACTACCGCAGAACAATTTTAAAATAGAGGAGAATTTCGATCTGAGCTCTGATCATTCACCAATTATTGTGACCTACGGATCTACAGTTTGTTTCAAGCAGAGACCTTACAGGAAAAAAAAATGCAAAAACAAACATAAATGTATTTAAGAACTGGCTTGAAGAACGAACTAGTCTAGACATACCACTAAACTATATACGGATATTAAAAAAAATGTTTAAAAGCTCTAGCTCTTATATCTTCTGAAATCGACGCGTTCAACATACGGAATGACAGGCGGACAGAGCTAAGTCAACTCAGCTCATCGCCCTGACCAAGAATAGATATGGTTTGTGGGATCTGCCACGCCTCCTTCTGCTTGTTACATACATTTCAACACGCCCTGTTGCCGCTGGGGCATGAAAAAGGTTAAAAGTGTGCCTGTGTTTATTAAAACAATTGCCAGCTGGATGTGAAGCGTATGAGCAAAACGACATGGGAGTATGTCAGTGGCTAACCATAGTTTGTTTGCCCCTTATTTCATTTTGCATTTTGCAACATATGCTCAATGGTAAAGCTAAGAAACTCATCAATTGATTTTCGCTTCTCTATTTTCAGTTTATTGGCATCAATAATGGTCAGCACAACATTGACAACATTGGCTGGACAAACAACTAGTAGCACTAATCATCATCACCATCATCATCAGCAGCAGCACCTGCAGCCACATCACCAACAACAGCAACCGCCTCATAACAGCAGTACCGGTAGCAGCAATAGCAGCTACCAGCGCCTGAAAGCCCCATCACCTACAGTCGCAGCTGGTGCTCAGCAGCGCAATCATTACGCGCACGGCGGATTGGAAAACGACTGTGACAGCAGCAACACCTCCAACAGCAATAGCGGCTATCAACAACAGCAGCCATTGAATTTATCACAAGCGCTGCTCTCGCCTTCGCCACCGCTGGACGATCAAATAAATTTGCTATTTCCCAAGTGCCGACCCAAACAACAACAGCAACAGCTGTCGAGCAGTAGCAATCGACAGCAACATGAAGCCAGTGTTGATGTAAATTTGAACAACACAACAGTAGCAGCAGCAACAGCAGAGATAACTGGAAGCAGCCCACCCATTGTCACGTCCATCAGCACGCCTAGCTACTATAAAAGTGTGAACATAATAACACAGTCTCCTCCACCGCATTCAACTTCGTCCCGCTCATCGGAGTCGCTGTCATCGGTCACGCCGCGCATATCGACAAATCCATTTTTGTGCGCACCACTGACATTACCAACACCGCCAGCTTTTACAGCGAATGGTGGCGATACGAACGTCGACGGTATTCTATTAACAGAGGACGAGGGATTACTCAAGCCACCAGAGCAGCAACAGTTTATTGAAGAATCGGTGCCACAGACGCCATATCCCGCATCCTTCTACTATCACACGGGCGATACAAGGCGTAGCCACAGCTATACAAATATGCCGCGAAAACGGAATAGCGCCTTATCAGTCAACAGGCAACACCAACATCATGCGCTACTCAACGCCTCCAGCAACAACAGCAGCAGCAACAACATCGGAAACGGAACTACATCAAACAGTCAAAATCCGTTTATCAAGGAGAACTACTGGGAGCCGCCCACTACACGTGCTAGCTCGTTGTTGAAATCGCCTACGGATTATCATGATGAGTATCAACAGAAGAAACGGCAAGAACAGCAGCAGCAGCAGCAACATCACGAACAACAGCATATGTACGCCTCGGCACGACGAGCCTATCATCAACAAAGGGAACAACTTGCGCCTCAATTATATAGCATCGGACAGAGGCAAATGCAAACACAAGCTCAGTCGCAAACGCAAACGCAGTCGCAATCGCAATCGCAATCTCAGTCACAACCGGAGAACATTCAAGCGCCACGCTCCTTACGTGCGGGTCGCAGTCCCGTTACTCGCAACTTGTCAGCTGCTGCTTTTGATACGCAGCAGCAGCCGACGCTTAGCACCAGCAATCCGTGCGCCGAGGGGCTAACTCCATTGGCTAGCCACTATCTGTATGGCAGCAAATTGTCCCTAGATCAGCATCCAACCGATTGTGAGCCGCGTGAGCAGCATAAGCAAAGGTTGCGTGAAGAACGTGAACGCGAAAGAGATAGGGAACGAGAACATGAACAATTGCTGCTAGAACAACAACAGCAACGGCATCTGCAACTGCAAGATGCGCATACAACTCGCGATAACCACTTGACCCACCTTGCTTCAGCACAAAAACAGCAGCAGCAACAATGTAAACGTCACGTCAACAGCAATGATCGAGATCATCGATTGATTAACAGCATTGCCAATGAATCAACTGTCAGCAGCTATGGAGTAGCCGATACCTCAGAGAGTTGGCAACGTAAGTAGCTGACAGCATCAACATAACTTTCGGTTTTGATCAACAAACAATTAGATTCTTCATAGGCATATACTTAATTAATCTAATCTATGCCTGAGTACATTTTTCCAGCTTGTCGTCCTTCCCTCTTTGGGGAATTTATATACTAATAATATTATGCTTCAATTGTAATAATTCAATAACATGTATGAGTTAATTCAACTGCCTTTATGCCTTCAAGTCCTACCGGTCTATTAGCTTGCATTTAATGGGGATGACCACGAATTCATTAAATTAAATTAAAATCATGTATTAATTTCCTGACCAAAAAGTTTCTGAGGTCCAAAATCAGTTCCAAACTAATTCCAAAATTTAATTCAATATTAACTCCAATATTAATTGCGAGCTATTCCTTCGCCACTCATTCTCATGTTTTTTCAACAGATTTACGGGTAACGACCAAATCGAACGCCCTACTGCCAGGGGAGATCAAAAGCAGCAAGCAGCAAACAGCTAACAAAACCCAGCCAGGCAGCCAAGATCACGCTCATATCATGTTTGAGCCAGCTACGCGACGCATGGTGGATGATGACGAAGCCTGGCAGCTGGAAAGCAACTACACGCTGGCCGTTGAGTCGCGTCATGGCATCATAGGTGAGTAGGCCAATCATGCACATATATTTATGTATATATTAAAACAGCTGATCAACTGGTCTCACAATACCGCAGAATACGAGGGCTCCCCAAGACGCATTGGCGTTGCGATGAGCAACAGTTCCGCTGAAGACGAGCCTGAGCCACCAGCTGACACAATAAAAGCAACTGCAACTACGCCAACAATGGCACTTCTGCAGCCCATCAGTTGCAGTACAATTGGAGCCAACTCCTTCCAGAAGACATCGGCTCGTACAGCACTTGCTGCGCTTGCCCAGTGCCAGCCGTCGCAACAGCCACAGGCATATCCTGTTCGCCCCGGCTTCCCACAGGTAAGGTTCGCCATTTTTAAAATCCCTTCAGTTTTCATTTATTATTGCATATATTCTTGCAGCGCATACTATCGTCACCGCGTGAGCTGCACAGCAGCTCCCCCATACAGCCGCAGCAACAGCATTATAACTATGGTAGTAACCATAGCAATAATAACAACAACAACAAGGCAGGATGCAGTGACAACAATGCCGAAGATACAAGTAATGATGTCTCTGAAATTGGCACCATATCCGACTTAACTACGCCAGAGGCACTCATTACGGCCACGCCCAACGAACTCACGAGCTGTGCGGCCACTTCACCGCCACCCGAAGCACCAACACCAACCGCGATAGCAGCAACAACCACGTTGGCGGGAACCACAACAACAGAAATTGCCAGCAACTCTTCGGCCATCGATACAACTCCAGGTCCATTAGGCCTGCACACCAAATCTTCAACATTTGATTACCTCTACGAATTTTCGGAGACGCGCAAAGTACTAGAAGAGTTCTTCAAGTGTCCGTCGAACGACGAACAGCCCATTTTGGAGAATGGCAGCGATGTGGACAGTATTGTACGTATACAAGAAATTATAAAGTTAGAGCGCTCTAAGCAAAACTGCTCAACTAGTCTGCTCAACCCTGCAAAGAGCTGATGTTCAAATATCTTTACACATACATACACATGCACACACATACACCCAGCGAGGTGACAATTACATTATAATTTGTTTATTTGCCAAAGCACAAATCTAAAGTTTATTTGAAATACGTTCTTTGTAAGTTTGATTGAAGGGGGTGGTATATATGTGTATATATAGTATTTAACCTGAATCACAGTATAATTAAACTTTGAATTTGTATTTATGCAGGACATACAATACGAATTTCACAGAAACTTTGAACGTGACGAGGAGGAGGATCTGGATGGCGACGCAGAGGAAGGTGACGAAAACGAGGAGATAGAGGACGAGGATGATCATATCGAACAGGATTATCGTCAGCAACATCAACAAGTACAATTGATGCAACAGCCACATACATCCGATCGCCATGTCTATGGCACGTACACACAGTCGCAGTTACAACTACAGGCGCAGCTGCAATCACGGCCCGCACAGATGCCACGACATTACAGCGGCAGTCCATTAATGCGGGACTTTGACTTTTTCCTTGAATCAGCAAGTCGCAGCAGCGGCGAACGAGAGGGCGAACAGGATGGGCTCAACCACAACCAGTTACTCAGCACCGGTAGTGGCAGCGGCTTGGGTCAAAGCGGTGGCCAGGGCGTGAGTGTTGGCTTGACCGGCACTCATAATTATCGCTACTCGCCGGAGACCACCGACTATGATTCCAACTGCGGCGACCTTGACAGTAAATATCTTGCTATTAGTCTATCCTACAAGTACTATAGCATTTACTTTCCAATCTGAATCACAGGCCTCTCAGGCGAGATGAATGGCGGCGTGTCCACATCTTGTTCAAACTATGCCAAGTACTATTCCTCGGCTATGCCCGTTTTGGAGGATGGCCTCTCCTCGGGACACACAAGTGACACAGAGAACAATAATAACAAGAACCAAATACAGCTAGGTGTCCAAGCAAATGCGGGTCAGGGTCAGGGTCAGGGTCAGGGTCAGGGTCAGGGTCAGGGTCAGGGTCAG